TGTGTGTGTGTGTGTGTGTGTGTGTGTGTGTGTGTGTCTGTGTGTGTGTGTCTGTGTTTTGAAATGAGCTCAGGAAGGTGGTGTTTGGCGAGGTGCATACAAGTACTGACAAGGGATCGTGCTTTGTGTGTGTGTGTGTGCTTGAGTGGAAGAGTTTGTGTGTGTGCGTGTGTGTGTTGTCAAGATCCCCAAACTCTCTCTCAATCCATTCTCATACCATCACAAACCATCCATAAACGAAAAAAAGAGCGTTCTTTCCCTATCCCTATCTTTTTTTTTTTTTTTTTTCCTAACTTAGGAAATTACTATGACAATCTTAGCAGAGCCACCATCTCTGCTGCTGCTGTGCCCTAATTCTGTCCTACGAGCTGGCCCTGTGACTCCCAACCTCACGCCCTGCGCGACTTCCCCATCGGAGTGTGATGGGGGCCTGGAAGTGCGAAAAGGGGTGTGCCAAGGATTTTTGGGAGTTTGGGGTGGAGTCCCAGGTCGGAACTGAGATCTTCTGTAGCGAGTTTCAGGGGTAAGAGTGCAAGTGTCTCCGAGCTCAGGATTGAGGCGATGACCGACCATGCGGCCTGGGCTGGGGCGGGGTGCCACAGGTATCCCTGTGGGAGTGCTCGTATCGCTGCCGGCCGTCGCACGTCTCGGGGTCCGACGAAGACGAGTCGGATTCTCGTTGCCCAGTCCTGGGATGGGTTCGTTGCACGACCCTCGCGTGCCGAAGCTCGTCGGGCTGTCGACACTCCGAGCACGGCGAGCGGCGCCAGAATCGGGCTATGCAGTCCCAGGGGACCACGAGCAACCGATGGTAGGGGAGGATGGTATAGTAGGGTGGGAAGTCAGTGGTAATGGCAACGAAGCCTGGGGTTAGAAAGTATTGCTGGTTCCGGCTGTCAGGATAGTCGGTAATCCACGAGTCTCAGCTGATTCCCAGTTGGAAATCGCCCCTGCACAGTCGCTCGTTTTCAGTCCGGCAAGGGTACTCGAGATATCCCGGGTTCCGTAGGGAGCGTTGTTGCCGGGTTCGCTGCCGACGGATCTGTTCCCTTTCCCAATACGCCCGGTACTCTGGGTCCTTTAGGCTTTCGCGATTGGTGATCCAGAAGGGAGAATCTATCGCCATGTCTCGTTCAACCGAATCCCTGCATACACATCTTACGGGACGGGATCGTGGCTAGCTTTTGCGGGCGCGCGTGTAGATGGCACGTCCGCGGGCGGCTGTTGTCTTACGCGTGCGTGTGCAAGGGCCAGTGGATCCGATCCTAAACGGCACAATTCACCACGGCGCGATTCGTCAGCGTACCGGCTCAGTCATTCTGCCAATTCCCTCAGCCTGTCAACAAGCATGCATCCATGTCCAGGTCTATCGTGTTCAGTTCGTTCGGTTTTGCGGGCCGGCTGCGTGAGTGCTCATGTAAGCCGTATTCATCGGATCGTACGTACACGGGGGCTCGCGGGGTTAGTCCGTCGTGGATCGATCCATTAGCCAATCACTTATGCAGGGGGAGGGGGGGGGGGCACATGCAACGATCTTTCAGGCATCTCTTGTTTAAGCAGAAGGCAGTTGCATACCCAGTCATACATCAAAGCATCACAACAGTATCCATTCCTTCCACCTACCAATCATCTGAGTGAGAATAGGTCGGCGTTG